GATTGTCGTTGGAGGAAGTGAGTGAGCCATTTCAGCGATGCTATTCTATCAGTTGACACCAGTCTTGATTGTTTCCCCCCAATGTTACATTTACTCCGAGTGAATGAGTATTTATTGGTTTGTCGTGGAGAAATATTGCAATAATGCTAATTGTTCAATCGCAGAATTAAAGTTTATGCCATTGATCAAGTGTCAGTGCGATCCTCTTGCTGTGGAACTCGATGGCATCTCAAGATACCCACACTTTCAGATTACCCATTGACATTCCAGCTCCTGTCACTGCTGCTAACTTTGCGGTTCGAGTTGATGTCAATGAAATCGCCTACTTGCATTGTGATTGGGAGCGTGATGCTGTTTTTCATCAGTTCAACCTTAATGAGCTGCTGGTGCGTTCTATCAGAATTCATTATCTTTATGGCTATTAATTAATTGGATCAGCTTTCTGATACTCAAACGTATGGTGAGGCAGTAAAGCACTAAGGAGCATTTAAACTCGCGCTGAAATGTTTTCGTGCACTCGGCACCTTCGCAATGTGTTTCGTATTCATGTATCAGTTTGTGGTTTCAATAGATCCTCAGAAAAAATTTGCAGTTGCAACGACAAGACATTCCCTTAGCAACGATTGAAGAAGAAACCGAGGATGAGGACGATTTGTCACCCGTTACACCGTGCAGTAATCCAGAATTTCTGTCACTTTCATCGGCCGAAGTAATTCCAATGAATCCTTGCCTTTTTCGCTTTTATAGGAATCGTAAATGTGGCTTTTACATTTTAAATTCCTCAAAATGAAGCACTGATAAGCGATCTGAATCCTTTCGTGTAACCAAAAACTGATGCCTTTCGTTAAATAGCGAAAATGATACTGTTTTATTGCATTGATTGTACTGCTTTCAATTTGAGCAAGAAATGTTCTCAGTTTTTTTCATCTGCACAAGAATAAACCATATATATTGTGTACTCAGATAATTTGCCCGATTTGTATGGACACATACGATGATCCTCGAACGCTTTCTTGTGGTCATTCAATATGCAATAACTGCGTTGAGCACATGAAGGCTACAGGTTGGGTATTTCAGTTTGACATGAGCATCTTTCTGTATGATTTTTGGTGCTTCAACATATTAGGATATCACATGAGAACGGAATATTGTATTGTTTA